GCATTATGTAAGAGCTACTACCGCACCAAATCGCAAAAAGCAATTTTCACAATGCTATTCCTGAAGGTTAACTTGTATTGTATAAAAATAATTTAAAGTTGGATATTGAACTAGGGTAATTTTTTTTTATATTATTTAGATTGTATTTGCATCAAGAAAGTGACTACTGTGCAGGATATGAGGAACACTGCACCCCTTCATTTTCCTCGGAAGTTACTAACAATAGTTGGCGTTCCGATATAGCCAATGTAAATCAACATATTGCTCAGGTATTGTAATATTTCTTATCTGGTTTTAAAATCTTTAATTTAATACAGTGTATTTTCATTTAATAAAATGTAATATTTTCAGTTTCAGATACCCCAGTTACATTTACAAAATAACTCGGGACAGTTTTCAAACACTGCGTTAAGCAATGGATGCACATTTGAAGAGATGCCCTTGCCTTCAGTGATGAATGTTGGGTTTGATCAGGTAAGAATGAAAACTAATTTAGCTACTACATCTATATATTTTTTATATCATAAATTTGGTTAACAAGCACGCAGCCCCTCTCATGATAAACGGTCACTGTAGCCTGCGGATGCCTGCAATACTAGATGTGTATCGATTCTGTGTTAATTAAATCACTAATTAAATCCGTTTCTATTTTAGATGTCTCAATTTGGTGTACCTGAAACTACCAATGTGTACGCGGATACTACAGAAATCCATCCTATAAGATATTTTCACCGTGAACACAGAGCAGGTAATTTTTTTCTCTATTTCTATTCAATTTGTTACAATTTTATAACATTTTAATACATTATCTTTTTATTTGATCAATCTAATTTTATAACCAGTTAATTAGTCAAATAAACACAATAACACTAAATTTCTGCTATTGGTATTGGTATTTTTAAATTAACAAACCATTTTTCTTAGTTACACTTAGACGCTCCTACTTTTTTTTTATTTTAATTGTGCACAACGTACGACACCTTTATTTATAAGCGATTTTTATTATTGCAGTTCTTCATACGCCAAATAATCTGAAGACAATTGTTAAACAAAAGCGAAAGAGGACAGCATTCACGACGTATCAAATTTCAATTTTAGAAAATATATTTAAAAATAAAGAATATGTCACTAAAAAAGAAAGAGAACACTTAGGTGGACAGTTAGGAATCAGCGAGACAGTTATCAAAGTATTGTTTCAAAACCGTCGAATGAAAAAGAACAAAGAGGTAAAGGAAATCGTCCAAGAGATCTACGGAGACATTTATCAAAACAACGAAGGTGTCGACCATTTAGCTCCACTTCATTATGTGGAATCACAAATGAAGGAGGCTGACACGAGGGGCTATATTACGCTCGACAATCGATCATTGGATTGTCTTGCGAAAACTATCGACAAAGTTCTACCTAAAGATATGAATGTACAAGACATCCTCGAAAATAAACACACCGGCAGCGATTTCAGGCCCGTGTATGAGCCCATGTATGGGCCCATATATGAGCCCATTTCTCCGGCAGATCCAATGGAATGATACAGTCGAGTAGAATACTCGTTGTCAAAATAGTCTCAACTGAATGAACATCGGCGAAGATAAATACAACACCGACATCGATTTTAGACCCATGTACGAGCCTGTCTCTCCAGCAGGTCAAACCGAATGTTACAATCAAATACAATCCTCGTTATCGAAATACTATCGAATAAAGGAACGGTTAATGAATCTGTGAATCTGTGCTTGAACTGTAGTTAAATGTTTTCAAATACCTTACAAATGTACTAAACTAGGTCGACCTGGGTAGATATATTGCTAGCAATAGGATTTTTAGTCTCGATTACTAACAAAACTTTTCCTCCCATTTTATATATATATTTGTTATAATGTTCTGGCATTATGCAAGAGCTACTACCGCACCAAATCGCAAAAAGCAATTTTCACAATGCTATTCCTGAAGGTTAACTTGTATTGTATAAAAATAATTTAAAGTTGGATATTGAACTAGGGTAATTTTTTTTTTTTTTTATATTATTTAGATTGTATTTGCATCAAGAAAGTGACTACTGTGCAAGATGTGATGAACACTGCACCCCTTTATTTTCCTCGGAAGTTACTAACAATAGTTGGCGTTCCGATATAGCCAATGTAAATCAACATATTGCTCAGGTATTGTAATATTTCTTATCTGGTTTTAAAATCTTTAATTTAATACAGTGTATTTTCATTTAATAAAATGTAATATTTTCAGTTTCAGATACCCCAGTTACATTTACAAAATAACTCGGGACAGTTTTCAAACACTGCGTTAAGCAATGGATGCACATTCGAAGAGATGCCTTTGCCTTCAGTGATGAATGTTGGGTTTGATCAGGTAAGAATGAAAACTAATTTAGCTACTACATCTATATATTTTTTATATCATAAATTTGGTTAACAAGCACGCAGCCCCTCTCATGATAAACGGTCACTGTAGCCTGCGGATGCCTGCAATACTAGATGTGTATCGATTCTGTGTTAATTAAATCACTAATTAAATCCGTTTCTATTTTAGATGTCTCAATTTGGTGTACCTGAAACTACCAATGTGTACGCGGATACTACAGAAATCCATCCTATAAGATATTTTCACCGTGAACACAGAGCAGGTAATTTTTTTCTCTATTTCTATTCAATTTGTTACAATTTTATAACATTTTAATACATTATTTTTTTATTTGATCAATCTAATTTTATAACCAGTTAATTAGTCAAATAAACACAATAACACTAAATTTCTGCTATTGGTATTGGTATTTTTAAATTAACAAACCATTTTTCTTAGTTACACTTAGACGCTCCTACTTTTTTTTTATTTTAATTGTGCACAACGTACGACACCTTTATTTATAAGCGATTTTTATTATTGCAGTTCTTCATACGCCAAATAATCTGAAGACAATTGTTAAACAAAAGCGAAAGAGGACAGCATTCACGACGTATCAAATTTCAATTTTAGAAAATATATTTAAAAATAAAGAATATGTCACTAAAAAAGAAAGAGAACACTTAGGTGGACAGTTAGGAATCAGCGAGACAGTTATCAAAGTATTGTTTCAAAACCGTCGAATGAAAAAGAACAAAGAGGTAAAGGAAATCGTCCAAGAGATCTACGGAGACATTTATCAAAACAACGAAGGTGTCGACCATTTAGCTTCACTTCATTATGTTTATTATTGACATTATTCTTATTCTTATATACTTCATTACTGACACGAGGGGCTATATTACGCTCGACAATCGATCATTGGATTGTCTTGCGAAAACTATCGACAAAGTTCTACCTAAAGATATGAATGTACAAGACATCCTCGAAAATAAACACACCGGCAGCGATTTCAGGCCCGTGTATGAGCCCATGTATGGGCCCATATATGAGCCCATTTCTCCGGCAGATCCAATGGAATGATACAGTCGAGTAGAATACTCGTTGTCGAAATAGTCTCAACTAAATGAACATCGGCGAAGATAAATACAACACCGACATCGATTTTAGACCCATGTACGAGCCTGTCTCTCCAGCAGATCAAACCGAATGTTACAATCAAATACAATCCTCGTTATCGAAATACTATCGAATAAAGGAACGGTTAATGAATCTGTGAATCTGTGCTTGAACTGTAGTTAAATGTTTTCAAATACCTTACAAATGTACTAAACTAGGTCGACCTGGATAGATATATTGCTAGCAATAGGATTTTTAGTCTCGATTACTAACAAAACTTTTCCTCCCATTTTATATATATATATATATGTAATGTCCAGGAAATATGGGAGCACTCAATTAAACAACCTCAGTTGATACTTCAGGTTTTTAATACTACCTTCCGAACTTTTATTACAAAAGTACCTTCACTACATCTCCTCCACAATTAAATTAACAACTGAGGGGAAAGTAAGCACATAGGACTACTTATTAACTATGAAAACTTATATATAATAACTTAGGTCATTATTCACATTTACAGCACAGTGAATGAGAAAATGTCTTAGTTAATTTTATTGATAGTTACAGCTCTATATTTTCCCTCCACAATTAATATCGAGACATTACTACAATATAGATATATAAAAGAAAACCACAAAAATAAAAAAAATCTTAATTATTAATCCGGGAAATGCAGACGGGAACCATAACTTAATAAGAAATAATAACTACTAATACTATAAGATATACACTATGATATAAACCTAATCATATACTAAAAAAATAATCTTTTGGGTGGATGAACTGGGCGTCCCGATCGTGTGCGGCGGACTCCAGGAACAGAGGCGGCGCGCGGTGGTGACCGCTCGGCCGCTTCGTTGGGAGGCGTGCCGTACGAGTCGTAATCGGCATCGTTGGGCGCCCGCGGCTCCGGCGAGCCGGCCGGTGTAGACGGCCGCACCTCGCCTTCCACTCCTAACCCTGGAGCCGTAGTTGGCGAGTCTGACTGAAACGGCTCCGTAGTTAGATCGTGGGTCAAAGAACAGGTTGTCCCGTTGTCGTACTTATCATATGACCAAGCGGAACTATTCACGTTACCATTAATAAGTCTTCGCATCCAGTAACTGGTTAATGTGACGCCTCCAAACGATATCAGTGTCCTTTACAGCAACATCGTAAACAACCTTACCGACACGACTGACGACCGATCCTAACACCCACACCGGTCTTTTTGGATTAAATCGATAGTCTCTAATCCAAACCTTATCATATCGCGAAAAGTATCGTCCTTTGCCACCGAAACAACGTCGTTGGCGTTCCTGGTTCAGCCGTACACGGTTATTAATCAACATTGGGTTAGGACCTGTGGCCGACGGTCGGACAGATATGAGGTCGAGTTTACATCGTAGATTCCTACCGAACATGAGTACTGACGGCGATACACCAGTCGTGCAGTGTGGCGTATTTCGGTAATAAAATAAATAATCATCTAATCGGCTACCTATATTTTTTATGGAACAATCTTTAAGCGCGTTTTTAATAAATCATTTGCATGTTTTAACCGCGTTTTCGGCGAGTCCATTACTTTGCGGCGAATAAACGGGAGACAATATGTGAGTGATACCGTTGACGTCACAAAATTTTCCGAACTCAGAAGACGTAAAAGTTGTTGCGTTGTCTGTCACAATTGTTTTAGGCAAACCGAATCTCGAAAATACTTTTTTTAAATTTAAAATTAAACTTTGAGACGTCATATTTGGCATATCCAAGCATTCAATCCATTTACTATGAGCATCGACTAAAACAAGAAATATTTTACTACTTAAGGGCCCAAGATAGTCCAAATGAATTCTATCAAAAACAGATACAGGCCAATTCCATGATTCCATGTGAGCTTTCGGGGGAGCTGACCGAACGGAAATGCAACGATCACAGTTGGACACTGTTTGTTCAATATCACGGTCGATACCCGGGTACCAACAACGCTCTCGAGCCAACGACTTCATTTTCATTATGCCTAAATGCGCAGCATGGAGTTCTTGTATCACAGCCGACCTGTATACCTCGGGTACGACCACGCGATGTCCGCGCATTAAACATCCATTGTCAACATGAAGCTCGTGCTGACACCGGCTGTACGGCAGCAATTCTACTCGTACTTTCCGTGGCCACCCTTTATTTATATATTGTATTACATCAGAAAGTGTAATGTCGGCAGCAGTAGACGACCGCATCTCCTCCAATGAGGCGGGCAATGTCGCACCGGCCGCCGCTAGTGCGTTAATATAACTAGGCATTTCGGTGTCATTAATTACTTCTTGCGGTTCCATTTCCACAGGAAACCGACTTAAATAATCAGCAACATTGTTTCCACTGCTAACGAATTCAATTTTGTAATTATAAGCAGCGAGAAATAATGCATATCGTTGAAGCCTAGATTCAGTCATTTGAGGTACTCCTTTTTCTGGCGAAAAAATTGACAACAAGGGTTTGTGATCGGTTCTCAAAATGAATGGTTGCTGACGGCCATAAAGATACTGGTGGAATTTTTTGATACCATAAATGATGGCCGTCGCCTCCTTTTGAATCTGGCTATATGCACGTTCGCTTTTGTTTAATGCTCGTGACGCATAGCAGATGGGACGTTCGGCACCGTCGTGGTATCGCGCTGCTAGAACCGCGCCCAGCCCACTTGGCGCCGCGTCTACGGTAAGCACGAGCTGCTGTCGGGGGTCATAGTGAGCTAACACTCGTGATGAACTCAATTCCCTTTTAACAGCATTAAACGCTTTTTGGTGCTCGTCTGTCCACTCCCACTCGATATCCTTTCGCAACAAAGTGTGTAGTGGTTCTAGTAACGCCGCCGCTTGCGATATGAAACTGTGATAAAAATTTACAATTCCTAAAAACGATTTTAATTGTTTCGTATTCATAGGAACCTTGACATCAATAATTGCTCTAATTTTATCTGGATTTTTGTGAATTCTCTCCCGATCTATGATAAACCCCAGATATTCCACTTTTTCCTGAAGAAAATAGCATTTAGATTTTTGCAATATAAGTCCAGCATCTCTTAGTCGAATCAAAACTTGTTCTACGCGTTCCCAGTGTAATTCGGGAGTAAATGCGGCAATAAGCACATCGTCGAGGAAACATACGACTCCATCTATGCCGTTCAACAATTGAACTATTGCACGCTGGAATAGCGCTGGTGCGTTTGCTAAGCCAAACACTAGCCGAGTGTAAACAAATAACCCCTTATGTGTATTTATACATGTGTATTCTTGAGACTGGTCGTCTAGTAACAATTTATTATAGCTTTGTGACAAATCGAGCTTGCTAAAATAGCGACAACCGTGCAAGGAAGCACATAACTCATTCAATTTGGGTAGTGGATACGAATCCACTTTTAATATTTTATTAATTGTACCTGAATAATCGCCACAGATACGTACTTCGTTGTTCTTTTTTAAAACGGCAACAATCGGTGACGCGTACTTCGAATAAGAAACCGGTTTTAAAACACCTATCCGTACCAGTCTATCTAACTCCGCACTCACTTTGTCCTTGAGTGCAAAGGGCACTGTTCTAGCTTTACAAAATTTTGGGACAGCGCCCTCCTTCAAATGTAATGTCAACTTATAGCGATTAAAAGTACCAAGGTTGTCAGAAAACAGGGAATTATATTTATTTAAAATTGAGCTGTACTTATTTGCTGAGCAGTGATTTACTGTCACTAGTGCTAAATTAAATTTATACAAAAAATCCCTGCCAAGAAGCGAAACTGGGCCATTATTTACCACATAAAAACGAATGTACTGAGAGTTGTTATTATACGTAATCAATAAATCACATACTCCAATAGGTGACAACAACGAACCGTTATAAGTACGTAAGATTTTATCAGACTCACCGAGTGGATGGGTTTTACAAAATACCTGCGCCACACCGCTGACGGCATTGCCGACACCGCGCTGCCCGAGTCTATTTCCATGCTAAACGGTTTCCCGTCCGCGGTCACCGCCACAGTCATTGGCGCACCCTCAGAACATCTAATATTATTTAACAGCGCATAATCGCTGTTTTCGCTCTCGTTATCACATTCACTGATAAAATTACTTCGCCTTTCGCTATTCCTATTTCTACGTGACTTAATGTTATTACGGTCAACCATACGAACATTAACACCACAATTATCACAAGATAAATTACGATAACCGTACTGAGAAGACGAATGCGATTTAGCGCCGCATACTGTGCAGCGGGGTGTCGCGCCATTTGCGCACCCGCCGCCGCCGCCGCCGCTGCGCGCTGCCGCCGCTGCCGCCGCTGCCGCCGCTGCCGACGTCGCGGCTCCTGCCAGCGGTCGCATGGCGCTGCTCTGTCCGCTCAGCCGCGTACAGCACCGATTCAGATTTAATATTGAGCGCTGCCAGATTTGAACACGCAACCCGTTGCGCGCTTTCTACTGCTCCTGCTACCTCGACTGCTCGTGTTAATTTGAGTTGTCCAGGATCATCCCGAAATAACTTCTCTCGTACAACTGGGGAGTCAACGCCGAGGACGAAACGATCCGTCATACACATTTCTAGCGAAGTACCAAACTGACATGTAGATGCCAAGCCACGAATACGCGCAGCATATTCTGGTAGGGACTCGTGGGGGTCTTTCTTAGCCGAATAGAATTTCTGCCGTTCCGCATATATGCACTTTTTCGGTTGAAAATGAGCATCCAAAGTATCTACAATCACACTGTAGGTGGCCGACTCGGGCACAATTGGAAATAACAAATCACGAGTTAACCGATATGAGTCCTGTGACATGCAATTAAGTAATATAGCACGTCGTTTAACACCATTCACGTCGCTTGTATCGTTAATACCATTAGCCACAAAGAAATTTTTCAACTGTGCACTATGAACTCCCCACTCATCACTTTTACAGTCAAATAATGGCACGCTCCCGTAAACTGACATTTTATACTATGTTACTGTGAGTTCAAAAGTCGATCAATTATCAACTGAAAGCCTCGTCGCCACTGTAATGTCCAGGAAATACGGGAGCACTCAATTAAACAACCTCAGTTGATACTCCAGGTTTTTAATACTACCTTCCGAACTTTTATTACAAAAGTACCTTCACTACAATATGTATAGGCATTTATTTCATATTGTTTATTAATTTTTGTATTATACCAGAGTGTTACCAGAGGGAGACTTTGTACAAAACTCATTTGCTTGGGCATGAGCAGGTGAAAGTGGCATATGTTAATCCCCCGGAGGATGGAATGACAATTTTAGAAATATTGCATGGACCTACAAGATCTACCAGAGGGAGACTTTACAAAAGTCGTTTACTTGGGCACCTCTGTCCCATTCGTGTTTCTACTGTGAAGCATTTGTGTTTTGCATGGCTGTGTTTCGGTTTAAAGGTGGGATATGGCAGTGAATTTACAGGGTACAGAGAAATAACACCCAAGTCCTCAGAAATAGCAACGCATAAGAGGTATCATGCGCGAAACAGTATACTCCGTTATGTCCATGGTAGTATTACTTTTCATCAGGTGGGCCGTCAGCTTGTTTGCTATTCTAAGTTGTATAAAAAATACTATAATGGTCGTAGTGTTATCTGTATTAATAACTATATTGTGATCACTTGTTTATACACATATATATGATATTATTATAGAGCAAAGATTTGTTTGTTTGTAATGGATAAACCCAATAATTACTCAATTAATTTTTAAAACTCTTTAGCCATAGATTGTTATAGTGAGTAACATAGGCTATATATGATTTTTTGAAAATTCTTATTACCCGTTCGAAACCTGGCCACATCACTAGTGTAATTTTTTATATACCTCTGAGGTGGCAACCAAGCATACGGCCCACCGCGTATAAGCGATAACTGTAGCATATAAACGCCTGCAATAAATACCAGAGACATTACGCGCACCCTGCTCACTCTTAACAATACTCTTTATCCTATTTTTGAAGAATCCTGTAGTCTCTTGGAAATACCTCGAGGACTACATGGAGATCAGTGCATAAACTGGGCGTCCATGGAAGGACTATCTAGGCTGTAAGGTATGAAATAGATTGATAAATGAATAAGTATTAAAGATGTTGATAAAGTACAAATAAGTACAATAGTATTTTTTTATGGTAATTTTTGTGCTGTAAGTAATGTAAATAAATTATCTATCTATCTATAATAATTTTTGCCGAGTTTTGAAATTAGACTAGAAATATATATCACTTTCATTGCAATTTATCCATCGTTCACTGTTTAATATAGTTCTTCCTCATATTTTGCCACAAATTTCGATCCTACGTGGCGTAGGATAGTGGCGTGCGTAGGCGTAAGTGGCTTGCGTACAGCGATTTCATTTTTTATGCAACTTAGAATGGCAAGTATGCTGACGGCCCATCTGATGGATAGTGGTAACCGTCGTCTATAGACATGAGCAGTACCATGGATAGGTATAACAGAGTATACTGTTTCGCCTATGATACTCTCCCTTGCATTGCCATTCCTGAGGATTCAGGTGTTATTCCACTGTACCCTATAAATTCATTGCTATAACCTACCCTTCGAACCGAAACATAGCTATCCAAACACAACTGCTCCACGGTAGAAACACGAATGGGATAGAGGTGCCCAAGTAAACGACTTTTGTAAAGTCTCCCTCTGGTAGATCTTGTAGGTCCATGCAATATTTTTTTTGCCATTTTATCCTCCGGGGGTTAACTTATGCCACTTTCACCTGCACATAGTGGCCGTTAGGGAACCTTTTTTTTCCAGAGCTCATCGGCTGTCCAAACTATTATTTAGCAGTACTTTGCTACTTCAGCTTGCAGATTCTTCGAATATCGGTCTACGTAGCGCAGAAGTATGAAAATAACAGACTTTTCTTCTTCTACGCATCATCACGCTCGCTAAGCGACTTCGAGTATCCTGATATCGACCATGTTTAAGAGCCACAAGTCATTAGTTGCAACACGTACTAATAAACAACAATAGTCAACTTAAGCAAATATAATTAGTATACAATAGAACAGTAGAGAACAAACAATATTAGCATTTTATAAAAGTAAGTACTGATAGGAAAGTGTAAACAAAGTGATTAGATGGCCCTTATCTATTATTATGCAGATAAGAGGTAACAAATATTTATGTTCACTAAACACGTATACAATAGACATTTAGACGGCTCGCTTTTAGTTACTCTTGAAATGTTAAAGTTGCGTTCTTGCAAAAGTTGATTGATTCCAACGTTGACAAAAAAAAATTAAATGCAATATACATAAACGCGTCTATTCTGTTTATATTATATCGCATAAGTATATGTATATAAGTATTTCGTCACATCAAATGTGTATTAACAATTTTTTTCGAGTATATTGATAGAACCGGTTATTACAGTGTAACATTGTGTTACACTGTAATATAAAATTATAGCCAAAAATTACAATTCAACAATTCAACTTGTACCGACGTGTTTAATATAGGACGTTTTTAACAATCTGAATAATATAAAAAAAATTTTTTTTTTGACCCTAGTTCAATATCCAACTTTAAATTATTTTTATACAATAAAAGTTAACCTTCAGGAATAGCATTGTGAAAATTGTTTTTTGCAATTTGGTGCGGTAGTAGCTCTTGCATAATGCCAGAACATTATAACAAATATATATATATATATATATATATAAAATGGGAGGAAAAGTTTTGTTAGTAATCGAGACTAAAAATCCTATTGCTAGCAATATATCTACCCAGGTCGACCTCCTCGTGGTTCCTCCTGGAAATTGTCATGGTTAATTTCTGATGAGTTGATTATGATGGGCTAACTGGTCTGTTTTCATTCTCATCGATCACCCTTCACTGGTGCTCCACCAGCGTATCCCGTTAGCGCAGGCGGAGTTACCATACCATTTTCATCCATCTATATATATATATATATATATATATATATATATATATATATATATATATATATATATATATATATATATATATATATATATTTGAATTCTATTGCTATTATTAAGACCTCTCCTAACAATTTATCTTAAATTGTACAGACATTATTAAGTACTCTTGGCAGTCATGAGTATAGAACGCCACGAACGGTGAGGCATTCGTAGCTGATTAGTATTTTTATTAAAACATTTATTCCAGATAAAAAAAAAACAATCTTGTATATAAGTCGTTTGCTTGTGTGCTTGTCTTTTCCTTTCATGTTTATTCTGTAAGGCAGGTATTGTTATACTTCATAGAGAGAATATCACTGAATATATTGTGTCTACCACGGTACTCGTTATGCATTATCATTTCGGAGACTATGGTGCTATGCTCCCGTAACCAGTAATTTAACTACTGTACATATGTCCTTCAACCCAAATCTCGACCATGCAAGGAGTTATCTAGAAAACTGTTCGACGTAACCATGTGGTATACCTAATGTTCTACTGTTGGATTTGCCACTAATTGTGTCAAAGGAATTTTGTACTATTCAGAGGATAGGCATTTCATTTTTTCACACAGTTTCATTCTTATATTATCTAGTAATTAGGAACTAGTTTAGTATAATTACACAGGTACGAGTATGTATTTCGCAAAGTTATAATATATTAGATAATGTAAGAAAAGGAAAAATACTTATTAGAACTAAGATTATGAGAAATGGATAATGTTACTCATATATTAAAAAAATTTTTTTTTTATTTATTTAAGCCCAACCAACAAAGTATACATTTATATCTACTTAAAATATATGATACTATGGTTACAGATTCTATCACGCAAAGAAACTACGAGCATAGGCCTCTTGGTTTATGATCAACTGTAAAATTTGCATACGGACAACCATATAGGGCCATGTTTTGGCTCACCTCAAAGTCAACTTTGCGTTTTTTTTTACACTAAAAAAATTATAGTCTACTCTAATTCTGCCGCATCGTAGGCCTGCAAATAATATAACTTATTACATAAGAGAGGAAAATAAAAATAATTAACTTTTATTTTGTATTTTATGCACGTATAACTGACACCGAAGGTAACCGACATAACCCGAAGGATAAGTAAGCTGAAGTGGCAATAGGCTAATCACATATCTCGAAGAACCGGCAACCGATGGGGAAGAAAGGTTCTTGAGTGGCAACCGCGTACGGATAAACGCAGTGTAGTACGACTCCCCATTAGGTGGAGTGACGACCTGAAATGCATTGCAGGGAGTAAGTGTATGCAGGTGGCTCAGGACCGTTATTTATGGCAGTCTATGGGGGAGGCTTATGTCCAGCAGTGGACGGATAATGGCTGAGATAATGATGATGATAGTCATGTTTGTTCATTCAATAATAAAGTAAATGTAATAAAATACATAATTAATTATAAAAACTGCAACATAACGAACACAGTATTCATACCTTCAATATTTATATTAAATAGATAAATGTCTATTTAATTCATATATATTTTATCATTTAAGAACTTATTTACTAAGTAATAATGTACAATAAAATGTTACAAACAAACAATGAAAAGTTTTATTTACTTCTACTCATCCAAGTCGTTAATATTTAATATTTTCGTTATAATTTAGGTACTATACGTAGACGTAGATAACCTAGGATTTACATAAAAGTTTATAAAAATTTTACTACAAAATAAGGTAATTAAATGTTTGTTTATATATACCTACAAGAACTTCCTTATAAAATTGAACGTCTTAAAAGGGACAGGATTTACGAAAATAAGGAAGGTAATTCATATTGGCATACATTACAATAAATTTAGACATGTCAATAATAAATTGTAAAAACATAATGAAAATACCCATGCTTCTGATGAGACTGGAGGGATAATAAAACACTATATCTTATATACATTTTACATAACGTATATTTTAAAACAAAGAAAAAGATATCAAAAAGTATATGTAAAAAGAGTTTAAACAAGAACCATATAAAAA